ACATAAAGGTTGAATTTCCAGTGTAGTTGCTACTGCAGTTTATTGGTGAGCTGTAACCAGATTTTAGGCCATGATTTAGCCATGTGATGTGAGTATCAGTCACATGGAGGCAGTGCTTAAAAGCCTGAATTTAGCCTGAAACTCTCAGACTGAAGAAGTCTCTTGGAGGAGAGACGAAACGTTTCATTAAAGAAGAACTCGTCCAGAGGACCTATACAAGTTTTTTCTTTTTGATTTTTTACCTGGATTACTGAGATGCATCAGGACGTTAGTAGTCTTGATCAGTAGTTCTTCGTACTTTTTTAAAGTCATCTTCTGGAATTTGGCTGCATTTTCCATTCAGTTTCAGTCCTGTCAAATGCTCATTCAAATGGAAAACAGCTAATGAACCAATGAATTCAGAAACTGAACCAGAGTTGTGACAAAAAAAACTTTCAAAAATCAGTTCCCGGTTATTTAGCTGAATCGATTAGAAATTCCAAAGACAACACAGGTTGATTTAGTTCCTTTGAGACGCCTCCTAAAGATGAAAAACTGACAAAAAAATGATCACAATTATGTCTTGTCTCAGATTTTTCCCCATTTCTTAAAGACTTGACTTTAAGATGATCATTTCAGCTTATTTATCGAGCGCCAATCCACCAGTGCTCTAAAGAAAGAACCAGTCCAAATCATAAATCTAACCATCAATGTATTTTCACCCACTTTCTGGGCTGCCATGAGCCGATGCCTTTCTGTAGCTGTCATCGTGTGGCAGGTGTGGTCATTTTTCGACAGGTAATCCATCACTGAACTCTGAATCATTTTATTACCAAATGCTAATCATTAAAAAAATTATCCATCTAAAGAAACCAACAGATTAAATCAAAAAATGTTCATTTGTCCTTAGCCCATGATGTCCAGAACCAAACTGGTTTTTAATGCAGTGGCCCCTGAGGGCCCAGTTTCCACAGATTCTTGCGTATTTAATTGTATTATGAATTGTGTGATATTCAAAGAAAATATGTTGAGGAACATAATTCAGGAATTAAGTATTGTCACAGTTTCTCACAGAACCTTTGTCCATCTTTACCTCTGAAGGCTTCAGCTTCTCTAAAATGATCTTTTTATATCCAGTCCTCTTACTGGTTTATTACAAATATTCTAATTATTTACAAACTCCTCCTCCAGTTCATCCTAAGTTGTGTCACTAACTTTTGAGCTGTATTGTTGCCAAAAAAATAATAATTAAGATGACCTATTTGTTTTTGAAAATGCATATTTTTAGTCCAAAACTTTGACATGTTTATTATTGATTTTAAATAAACATGCTTTTTTATTTATTTTAAATCTAATTTTACACAATGACCCAATTTTTTTAAATAATGCTGTGCCTATTTGTAGCTTTATGAAAGGCTCTCATATGATATTTCTTCAGTGTAAAAAAAAACAAGTTAATGGAGCACAATGTTCTTTCAGCTGTGCATGTTTACAAGCTGCAGTTCTTTTATTATTATTATTTATTATTATTATTTATTTTGCAGTTCTGAATAAAGTCAGTGAGTTAGCTTTAGCAGATTAGCCTTCACCACCTTTTTCAGAAGAACGAATTCATCGAGCGATGTGTTGGAATTGTAACAACATCAACAATTATCACGGTTATTACATTTTCTGGAGAGAAAATTTTATTTTATTTAGTCGGGACAGTGTGCAATTAATACATAAACATAAAAACATTTGATGCATTGCACCAGATTTATCCTAAGGTTGACACATATTTTTATAGTCCTGCACTTTACTTATTTTTTATGATCAAACTACATACAGCCTCACATCCTGTTATGATTGATAAAAAAAAGCTGCCAAAGTCTAAAGGAAAACTCTGTAAGGTTTTCAGAAAATCTGCAGAACTATTGATCAAAACAAGTACAGGAAAGTCTGGAAGATAAAAAATAAAATAAAAGCAGCTACGACTTCTGCACATTACTTTACCAGTGTTGTATAAAGTAACACAAAGTCATACTTGAGTAAAAGTACAAGTACCTTATCAAAAAAATACTTTGGTAAAAGTTGAAGTCTCCTTTAGGAATATTACTTGAGTAAAACTCTTAAAGTATCTGATATTTTTGGTACTTCAGTATTAAAAGTAAAAGTATTGATTTAAATTGAGCAGTTGGTCATTTATGCATTTTTGGGGCGGTCACCTCCTAATAAATGTTACTACAGAAAATTTGTCTTATTAAAATAATTAATTTATGTTAAATTTAGGATGCACTAGTCCAGCTGTTTCAGTTTATATACATATATCAAGGCTGCACAAAGCTTTTCCCCAAAATGAAAATCTATCTGAGGGCTGCGGCCAAATGTAAGAATATAATTCATGAAATACAAATACTTCTTAAGTACAGTCCTTTTATTTGCTGGAGTGTGACATGATTTGTTTGTGTACAAACTAATACACTATCAGAGTTTTATATATTTATAC